GCAGGCGGACTCTCAACCACTGCGCCACCAGGGAAGCCCAAAGCTTCTGTTTTTTATTGCCATTTGTAAAGTCTCTTCTAGTGTGAGATTTACTCATGGAGTAGATGCCTAGTAAGAGATCGTTAGCACAGTAGCTGAGAAATGAAAGGGATACTAAGTTCTTAAAAAAACACATGTGCATACACACATGAATGTTTACATAGGAATTTTCATTATCTCTTGGTAGAGAAGGTAACCTGTGAACGATATATAGAAGTCTCATTCTTTTTCCTTATTTAACGATTTTGCCATTGGCAGAGAAACAAATTCCATGGTGGAAGAATTTATGTTACTTGCCAACATCTCTGTTGCAAAAAAAATTCACGAAGAATTTCCTGAGCATGCTCTGCTTCGAAAACATCCTGCCCCTCCTCCATCAAATTACGAAATTCTTGTTAAGGCAGCTAAATCCAAGGTAAGGTCACATAGTTTGAAAAAGCATCTGTATTTGTGTAGTGATCCAGCCATTGCACTGAACAATCTATATTTACATTTCCATAAAAATTTTGTTGTCTCCTGATGCAAAAATATGCCCGTAGTTCTTTCAATTAAAAAAAGAAGTCATCTAACTTGGGTGTGGTCATCTCTTCGCACCTTGAAATCATTTGTTTAATAAAATCCTTTAATGTCTTTAAATAAAGAGAGCCCTATACTAAAGCCAGATATTCCAGACTAAGTTATTTATAATATCCTGAACGTATTAAGCTCTTCCATATCTCTGTGCCTTTACACATGTTTTTTATGCCTGTATTATTTCATGCCTCCTCCAAACTGTCTACCTTTAGAGACTTAACAGATAGTTTTTTTTTTCTCTTTATCTTCAACTCACTTAAGCCCTCTTTATGTCATGTCCCTAAGAAAGAAGTCCATTTTTGCATATGTGGAAAAAAGGAAAAACATAGAAAGGGCACCGGTTTCCTCAGCCCCTTATGCTCCCTGCCTCTGGTTAGTAGACTTATTTAGGCATGATTATCCCTACACTTGGGGTGACAGTGGCTTGGATTTCAGGGTATTATTCTAACAGGATGACGTTGATTTCTGATTTTTCAGACCTTTATGGTGGGCCTGCTCCTATCATATCCATCAGAACAGAATCAGCTTCTCCTCTGCTCTAAGGATTGTACTGTAAATTGGAGAATTTTCTCTTACTGTCCTATTTCTTTCTATGACCTGGGTAGAGGAAGGAAGATATAAGTATTTTTGCCTCATCTCCCAAAGTAAAACAAGCAGCCAATTGCTGTATCAGCACGTTGAGCTGTAGTAACCAATACAGTTTTATTTTGCCTCTGATCTTCTACTTTGAATGGAGGGAAACTCTGCAGAGAAAATCCAGATATGCTGAAAAATATCCAGATCTACTTTGATTTTTTTCTGCCCCAACAGAGATAAGGCAAGTACAGATTGGACTTTGAGAGATAGCACTACTGCTCCCAATATTCTCTTCCCCTTGAAATTTCTTAAGAATGTTGATACTGTAGTACCTTCAAATGCGTTCAGAAAAATTTAAGGTTTAATGTTGCAAAAAACAGCCATTACTTTTTATGACTTTATTTTTAGTTCTCCTAGGTTTAGGATAAAAGATATAAACACTTAATATGTGGTCAAAACCCACCATATTTGTTCAATCTGATTGGTTATATTTTGAAGACATGCTGGTAGTGATTTTAAAATGTTTAATATGATGCGTTTTCCCCTCTTTTTTATCCACAGAATTTGGAAATTAAAACTGATACAGCCAAGGCTTTGGCTGACTCTTTGGACCGGGCTGATTCACTTACCTTCCCATATCTAAACACCCTGTTAAGAATATTGGCAACTCGCTGCATGATGCAAGCTGTGTACTTCTGCTCTGGAATGGATACTGATTTTCATCACTATGGCTTAGCGTCCCCAATATACACACATTTTACTTCACCCATCCGAAGGTACTTTTTCCTTATGAAATTAGAGATAGAAAACAGTTGATTTCAAATTTTAAAAGGACATTTTAATGCTAACATAGCATGATTCTTATTTCTCCTTCATATATCTAGATACGCAGACATCATCGTTCATCGGTTATTGGCTGTGGCTGTCGGGGCTGACTGCACTTACCCAGAGTTGACAAACAAACACAAGCTTGCAGAATTATGTAAAAATCTCAATTTTCGGCACAAAATGGCACAGTACGCTCAGCGTGCATCTGTGGCTTTTCATACCCAGGTATTTGCCTTCTATCACTAATGTTAGAAATGAAGTTTCGTTCACTTTTAATTGCAGAATTTTTTTTTTTTGTTAACTTCAAAATATCTTAAGACAATCCTTGATAAGGTTGTATGCTTTTTTACAGTTATTTTTCAAAAGCAAAGGAATAGTAAGTGAAGAAGCTTATATTCTATTTGTGAGAAAGAATGCTCTTGTGGTGTTAATTCCAAAGTATGGATTAGAAGGTACAGTGTTTTTTGAAGAAAAGGACAAACCAAAGCCACGGCTTACTTACGATGATGAGGTACAGTATTTCTAATGTTTTTATTTTGGCTTTTTTTGGAGGGGGGACAGTTGCAAATGGTACCTATAAAGGGTAAAATTATTTTTGTACCCTACAGAACTTTATGCTAGCTAAGCTTATCGTTTTACTCACTATTTCTCAGCTCAGTGTTTCTTGCCATATACAATAGTTTTTCTTGATTTCTTTCTTTTATACCATGAAAAGTTTTCCCCTCTAAGGAAAACTTGAATTATGCTTTGTCCCTAGTGGACAAATGGATTAAAGTAAAGGAATAAATGGCTGTTTATAGCTCCAAGACGGGAATTTTTTCAACCAATTCCAAGTGTCTCTTACCTGACACACTCCCTACTTCCCTAATCTTAGTAGAACTACAGAACAATAAATTCTGCCCACATTACCTTTGTGCTCCTGTATAACACCAACAATTTGCTAATTAAAGGGGTGAGAATCCTACAGTTAATGAATATAAATTGGGACCACATTAATGAAAGGGGGAGGTTTGCACATAATTAGGTCATATGTATGAGTTTGTTAGATTAGTGGGTTTTGTTATGTTGAACACCTAGATACTGAATAAATATTGAAGTTATTTTAGAATTTAAACTTTTAAATTAATATGGAAGATAAATTATAAAGAATTAGAACCAAGCCTCAAGTGTAAGAAAGCAATTAAAAATAGTAAAATGTGTTTTGTTTAGATACCATCACTTAAAATAGAAGATACAGTGTTTCATATATTTGATAAAGTTAAAGTGAAAATCATGTTAGACTCATCTAATCTTCAGCATCAGAAGATCCGAATGTCCCTGGTAGAACCACAGGTAAGACCAAACTTAGAGTGTCCATGTTGTGGTGGAATAAACAGTATGTATTTTGTGAAAGAGAGTGATATAGTCATAAGTTATTCCTGTTTAAGGATAGAATCCTGTAAGTATTGTGGAAGACAAATATCTGCATAGGAAATCCTATTTTCTCACTGATTTCCTTAGGCCATGGGAACCCAGGCATCTGGGCTTCTTCTGAGGTCCTTGGGGCCAAAAGTGGAGTTCTGAGATCTGCCTAGTTCTTTCTGAAATCCGCACTTTTGAAGATCAAGTTAAAGTGTGTTTCCATCTAAGACATTGGTTCTTAACCTTGGCTCTGCCCCCGACACACCTGAGGCCTCTGATCCTGACAGAGTGGCTCACAGCTAGGATAAATTGAACGTTTTGGTTAAACCCCCCCTTCCCAAATGACATGCTTCTACCTGCTGAGATCATGTCTGCCTTTTACATTCTGAACCAGTTCCTTTGTGTGTGAAATACATACCAACACATATATCCTGTGGAAAATCTGCTCCTTCTTCCCCCTACCACCCCTGCATCTTTTTGAACTTAAAAGCGTCAGTGGGGAAGGGGAAGATGAGAAAGATTTATTCCTTATTTTACGCTTTTACTCATCTATTTTTCCCATTTGCATTACTTTAGATACCAGGAATAAGCGTTCCTACTGATACTTCAAACATGGAGATTAGTGAACCAGAGACAAAGAAGAAGAAGCTTCAAAAATAGCTACAGTCAAGAAAAAAAAAGCTTCAAAGATTGGTTTCCTTAAAAAAAAAATCTTGAGGGAACACTTGTAAACCTAAGAAGTGTGTGATAGTTTGTTACTTCTAAGCACATTTTAATAATTTTTGAAATTTGCATTTTTATTGAACTGTTGACTGTGTCTGTCCCATCATACTACTTCCTTTCTGGATTGAACAGAACTATTTATGCAGAAAAATTCGATTGAATAACCATCACTTAAATAGTGACAGGATAACAACTTGAGGGATCTGTAAAGATCATTTAAAGGGAGCACTCATCTGCTCACTGAAGAGGAGATGAATTTTGCATAAGTAATTTGATTATCTACTATTGATAGAAAAAAACTGTAATTTTCCTATGGAGAAAATATAACATTTTTAGAAGGAACAGTCTATTCTTTCTGAGTCTTGAAAGCTGTCAGTGTGTGGTACGGCAGTTTTTAGATTTCAAGACAGTGAAGTCAGGAGCTGTCAGGGACTTCAGCATTTAATCTCCTTTGCCACCTTTAATTTACCTGACTTATACTAAGTGTTCCTGTACTGTTAAAAAGCCTCCTGCATTTTATTAGTGGTTCTTGAACAGCTGTGAATGTTTGGGAATTGGGTGTTGAAGGAAGGTGAAGTAGAATATTTTGATCTAACTGGAAAAATAGTTTTTTTTTAATACCAGATAATAAGTGTGATCATCATCCTTGACCTTCAGCTCAAATATCTCCCCGAAAATAAGGCATTAGGGTTCAAAGAAAGAATAGAGATGGCCCTTTAAACATCACATCGTGTTACTTATAAAATAAGGAGGCAATTAATAATGGCTTTTAAATTGCATATATATCAGACTATGGAGGAAAGGAGGGGTTGCATGAGGACATTAAAGGGAACAGATTGAAGTACTGCTACTTGGTGTGCCCGTGCCTACTTCCTTGTCAACCACAAAGATTATTAATGATAAAATAGGTGTCTTCAAGAATATTTCGAGATAGAGTTACCTTAAAACATTTTACTTGGCTCATTCAATTTCTGAAGTACTGACACTGTACCAGGTTCCTCACCAGTCAAGTAAACGATCTCTGCCCTGAAGGAGCTTGCAGTACAGTGAGAAGTGACTGGCGAACACATCGGCAGGTGTAGTAAGTGAGAATAGTTCCAATGTGTACATTCAGGCACTTCAGTAATTAAAATGATTGTTCCCATTTCCTGTTACTGAGGAAAACATCCATACGTTGAGGCAGAACTTGTTTCATTCGGAGAGCCTTGAGGGGACTAACGCCTAAAGCGGTGGGCAAGCCTTTTCTGTGAAGGCCGGACAAGTCAGGCTGTGCCAGCCGGGTGGTTTCTGTCACAACCATAGCTCTCCACTCACTCCTCTGCTCTTACAGAATGAAAGCAGCCACGGACTATATGTAAACAACTGAGCATGGCTACGTTCCAACAAGACCTTGTTTACGGGCAGGGAAATTGAAATAATTTCCTAATTTTCATGTGTTTAACAAAATACTACTAAATTCAATTTCCATGCTGCACCTTTCCCCCCAGCCATTGAAAAATTCTTTGCTCATGGGCCATAGTTTACCTGCAGTCGAGGAAAAGGAAGGCTTCTGGGTAAAACAAGGCTATGCTGACCTCACATCTGTCTTTCCAGGTTTGTTTTCTTACACCTCTTCTATGAAGAAGGCCTGCTTCAGGCTCTAGTCCCTGTTGAGTAGTTCAAGATGACCAGAAACCTTATTTTCACCCTGAAGCCTCTTCTTTGCTAATCTGAAATGCTTTGAATGCCACTACTTATGCTACACAGCTGACATGAAATAGTTCATTTAAAAAGCACTGTTTGGGCTTCCCTGGTGACGCAGTGGTTGAGAGTCCGCCTGCCGATGCAGGGCACGTGGGTTCGTGCCCCGGTCCGGGAAGATCCCACATGCCGCGAAGCCTGCGTGTCCAGAGCCTGTGCTTCGCAATGGGAGAGGCCACAACAGTGAGAGGCCTGCATACCGAAAAAAAAAAAAAAAACCCTGTTTGGTAAGGACTATTATCCCCATTTAACCCGTGGGAGATTGATGGTTTATGCCTATTTTGGGTCATAAGTGACAGAGGAGGATTTGAATCCAAGTTACAATCACAACTTTGTTGTTTCTTGAGTTTTGCTATTAAAAAAAACACAGCCAGGGAAGCACCTACCCTTAGGATCTAGAATTCCTCTTATGTACAATTATTTTAAGCTCCTATTAATTCTAAAGCCTGTGATTAAGGACTCAGCCTCCTAATGCACTAATCTTTAGCAATGGACCTAGTGGCTAATGGCTTTAATGTTTAGTGTACAGAGGGGAGAGGATGAGCCAGGTACGTAGCAAGAAATAAGTCTTGCAGGTTGGCAGGAAGTTTACAAGTTGCAGAAAAGTAAGGAAGGACGTGACACAATGAGAGTATGTCTTTATTTCCTAGGGCTACGTATGAATTATTCCCTCCTGAATGAGACAGTTTTTAAAAGGTAATTTGTAAAATACGAGTATACATTCTCCCAAGGTAAAGAATATTTTCCCTCCAAATTATATACCCATTCTACTCCCAACATGAATATGTTTGTTTAATTTTAAAAATTTAGTTACATGTCTGTCCAACCCTAGCTTCATAAGCCTAAAACTCTATGGGAAACCGCCCCCCCCCAACCCAGTTTTTCCTGGTTCTCCTGTGTTCTTAACTAACTCCTCTCCATACAAAGGATGTTCCCTACCCTAGGGATGGAGATACATTCTGGGCATCCCACATTAACCCCACTAATAATAACACATGAAGATCTACACTTTTTAGACCAGTTATCACTGGAACTAAGAATTTCTACACTGAAATGAACAAACAGCTCAAGCATGAAAAGTGTTGGAAACCTGCTTAACCTCCTTTCTACTTCTTCGATTAAGTTTCCTTTCTAACTCACATTTATTTCTTTCACCAAGGTTATAAATTTGAATTCATCTGTATATTCACATACTTTTAAGTAAAATAAAACATAGCACCTTCACAGTTCCACATGTTCCCAGAACTTCTGCTAAATTCAGTGCTGTTAGTAAAGTGACCCTGTAGGGCAGGAGCAAAGTTATCACTCAAGTTTTTTGTTAAACAAACATATCACTCAAGGTCAGTACAAAAATATTTATTGCTAAAAGCTGAACTTGTACTTCAGTAACTTCTTTGAAATTTCCAGGAGCTTTTCTGTTGTCACTAAATTAAGCCCTTGGTTTTTCACATTAAGGAGGGAAAGAAAAAAAGCTCAGCATGTTAGTTGAAGCAGTTTCTTCCCCATCACGATCACATTATGGATCCCATGCATGAAAAATATGTGAGGAGCTGTCCAGTTAGAGGCTTTGGTTCTGAGAGAGGTGCTCTACGGGCTGCTGCATTGAGGCCGATTTGCAATTTTCATCCAACACCTTTGCATTGAGTGGTCTTGCTGTGAAAAAGAAAATACCTTATTTTCAGTTTAAATAGGACCATTCAAGGATACAACAATTATGTGAAATGTTTTTAAAACCGAGATGCAAACTTCCTATGCACTCTAAAGGGACAGTGAAGATACATTTTGTTACAAATCAGTATTCTGTATCATAAAAGTACTTCCTGTATCTTAATGCTTGCTTGCTTTTAAATGGACAACTACAATCCCACCTCATGACAAAAGGGAGGAAAGGTAAAATAATGTGGCCTCCGTATTAAATTTGAATATTCGTTTGGAGAGTTATGTTTAGTTGCACACTTGATATTTATTGTTTATTAATAAACTGGCACATAAAAATCAAAAATTCTCCTGATCAGTGCCTAAAATTATGATGGGATTCTTCAAATCTGAATACAGTTGTCCTTCAGTATCCATGGGGGATTGGTTCCAGGACCCCCAAGGATACCCAAATCCATGGATACTCAAGTCCCTTATATGAAATGGCATAGTATTTACATATATTTTAAGTCATCTCTAGATTACTTATAATACCCAATACAGTGTAAATACTATGTAAATAGTTGCAAATACAACATAAGTTCTATGTAAATAGTTGCTGGCACATGGCAAATTCAAGTTTTGCTTTTGGAACTCTAGATTTTGGGGGTTTTTTTGCCCTGAATATTTTTGATCTGAGGTTGGTTGAATCCATGGATGTGGAACTCACCAACCATATACAGACATATCCATCCTATCTGGAGGTTCAGTAAGTGTTCACTTCAACAGTATACTTTTGTATAAATACTCAGTTTTTTAGACACACATGTGTTATCTCTAAAGGCTTGGATTTTAAGAAAAGAACCCTTACCTTTGTTTGAGTGCTCGTAACTGATGTGTAAAATCTCTCAGTTGTACTATTCCCCTCTCTAGTAATCAAGATGCTTTTTTTAGTTTAGCTTTGAGCCAATATTAGAGGCAAAACCCTCCACCTCCCTCCTATTGGGCACCCTCTGCTGTTCCCCTTTTCGCTTAAAGGAACTGATTTCAAGCCCCATTTCCAGAGCAGCGCTAGCTCTCCTTCCCCCACCTCTTCTCTTATGCTCCCTCATAGCAGAAGAGGTAGGAAAATAAAGTTTTGAAGCACTTTCTCCTGCTATTAAATGAACTGAAGACAGGATGAGGCATCAACAGATAGCAATTAACGAGATTTTACACAAAACGGGAAAAAAATAGGCTGAAAACAGTCACATTTAGTAAATACTTAAAAAACTACAACCATATCAAGCTTTCTCTGTTTTTTCCATACCTTTATATTAAAAACTTGAGATTTATTCTCGACTTCCAAGGTTTGTGCATCACTTTCTTTGCAGTAACTTTCTGCTCCAACCGTATCCATAATATTGCTTCCACAATTCTGTGTATTATAGCCACTATCCATCTGACAGGAATGAGAGGGAGAGAGAGAAAAAAAACCACCACAGGTAACATTGCAAAGTGTAATTCACTTGACCACAAAATTTATTTTGAGGAACTTTTATGTTTAAATAAGTAAATTTATTTTAAAATATTTATATAAAATATATATATGTAAGATTTGGCTTATGTAATTATATATAAAGACAGTATTTTAAAACATTTAAATGAATCACTATATACTATTATTCACAACTGAATGATACAATTTAATATTGTATTAATACAATTTAATATTGATCATATTGAATGAATTTAAAAAGTAATAAACATAAAATTGCTTGTTCTTCAAAGTAGTTACTACAATTCCTTCTAATAAAACATATCTTGTAATTTTCTTTATTTTTTTTAAATTCTAGGTTATTTTATTTTATTTTATTTAGTTTTTGGCTGCGCCACGCAGCATATGGGATCTTAGTTCCCTGACCAGGGATCAAACCCGCTCCCCCTGCAGTGGAAGCGCAGAGTCTTAACCACTGGACCACCAGGGAAGTCCCTGTAATTTTCTTGAAAGTCAGTGTACAAACCACTAAGAACATACTTCCCTGTTACTTTGTGCTCACACCCAGTAGATGAAAATGAAGATTACAATCAACTTCTTCCAACTCATTTACCAAGCTTGTCTTAAATGGCTTACTTGCATCTCTAAATAAAATTTACCTAAATGGCAAGCTACCTTTAAGAGGATTCAAAACAATACACATTTTTTAAAAGGTGGCTTACATTATACTCATACCCATCACTGAAATAAAAATCTTACCTTCATAATAATACCACGTACATAATGGCTCTAGATGTTAGCTCAGCTTTTCATTTTAATTAAAATTACAGCATTCTACAACACACTGTTACAGCCCAAAAGAGCAAAAGAAAAAAAGGGACTAGCAAACTTCAGTTTTGGTACAAATGTGACAAATATTTATTTCATGAGGGCCTAAAAAAAGCACCAGCCCTGTACGGCGCTCCATGTAATATTCTTATTTTCTCCTTGCAGCACCC